AGCTCATTCCTTTTTGTCACTGAATAGCATCCTATCATATGGCTATAACTTCAGTGTCTTAGTTCAGGTTGCTATTACGAAATCCCATGGACTAGGTGGCTTATAAACAATGGAAATTTAATTCTTACAATTTTGGAGGCTGGAGGTCCAAGATGAGGGTGCCAGCAGGATTGGCTTCTGGTGAGAGCCTCTCCCAGGTTGTAGACTGCTGTCTTCTTGTTGTATCCTCACGTGGTAGCAAAGGAGGGCCAGAGAGCACTACGGGGTCACTTTTATAAAGGCACTAATCCCATTTATGAGGGCTCCATCCTCCTCACCTAATTACCTCTGTGTTGGTCAATTTTATGTGTCAACTTGACTAGGCTAAGGGATGCCCAGAGAGCTAGTAAAACATTGTTTCTGGGTGTGTCTATGAGGGTGTGTCTGGAAAAGATTAGCATCTGGATTGGTAGACTGAGTAAAGAACACTGCCCTCATCAATGAGATGAGCATCATCCAGTTCATTTTGGGTGTGAATAGAAGGGGAAGTAGAGGAAGGGTGGATGTGCTCCCTGCTTGAGCTGGGAGGGCCATCTTCTCCTGGCCTCAGACGTCAGCACCCCTGGTTCTTGGACCTTTGGACTCCGACTGGGACTCACACTATTGGCTTCCCTAGTTCTCAGCTTTCCTATGTCTCTAACCTGCAGGTGGCAGATCATGGGGCTTCTCAGCCTCCATAATCATGTGAGCCAATCTTCCATAATAAATCTCTTTCTATATATCTCTATATGTCCTATTGGTTCCGTTTCTCAGGAAAATCCTGACTAATACACCTCCCAAAGGCCCCACCTCCTAATACCATCATCTTGGGGGTTAGGATTTCAATATATGAATTTGGGGGAGACACAAACATTCAGTCCATTGTGCTCAGTTTAACCATTCCCCTGTTGAGAGACATGTTGGTCGTTTCCAGTTTGGGTGATTATGAATAAAGCCTACTATAAACATTTACACACAAGCTTTTCCATGAACATGAATTTCAGTTTACTTGGGTAAATACTTATGAATGCAATTACTGAGTCATATCATAAGTATGTATTTAACTTTATAAGAATCCGCCAAATTGTCTTCCAAAGTAGCTATACATTTTGCATTCCTGCCAGCAATATGAATGAGACTCTGTTTTGGTAAATATCCTCACCAGTACCTGATACTGCCAGGTTTTTTAAAGGAATTTTCACCATTCAAATAGGTATTAAATTGTCTTTTAATACTTATTATTATAAATAAATAGTCCTCACTCTGTAAATAACCTAGTTTCATTTTTGTTTCCTGTTAAAACTTGCAAAATTTTTTTCTTCATCTAGAAAATTTGAAATTTCACCAGAATATCTATGTGTGTCCCCCGACCCCCATTATTTTTCTGATAGAAATACTCAAATCTTTTATAAGATCTGAAAAATTTTATTCTTATATGCTTGATGCTTAGATTTTCCTCCACCCACACCACTCTGCTTGTGGAACCTCTATTTTGTGGAATTTGGATCATCCATTTCTCTTTTTCATATAATTTTATTTTTCTGATGGCTGGCATTTCTTTAATTTTTCCTTTATGCTTTATGAAAACTTTTCTTTCTCTTTTTTTTTTTTCCCTGAGGAAGAGTCATCCTGAGCTAACATCTGTGCCTATCTTCCTCTATTCTGTATGTGGGTCACCCCCATGGCATGGCTAGCGAGTGGTGTTGGCCTGTGCCCAGGTTCTGAACCTGCAGACCTGGGCTGCCGAAGCAGAGAACACCAAACTTTTAACCACTTGGCCACGAGGCTGGCCCTGAAAACTTTTCCAGGGAATCCTAAATCGCCATTTCTTTTCTATAATCAATATTGTTTCCCTGATTTATTGGGGTTTATATTGAGTTTTTTTGTTTGTTTATTTCTTTGCTTGCCAATAGCTCCTTTTACATAGCAACTTCACTTATTTTTATGAAGTAAACATACTAGAGACATTAATTAGAATTTTAAAAGCATTGATCTCATTTTTTGTTTTTCATTGGAGGCCATTGGCTGTGAATACCCTATCCCTTCCTCCTACTTTTTGACTTGCTCATTCTCTTCATATCATTTTGTAATTTGGGGTTATCTATTCATGTTGAGAAATGGAGGTCAGGTTTATCAGAATTAATAGCTAATATAGCTTCCCTTATCATGTTTCCAGACTGCTGATGAGTTTTCTTTCATATAGCTCCCTCTGAGCAAGTCAATTGCCTGTAGAGTTTTGTGGCAGGGGTATAGTGGAGGAGGAATCTTCCTGGAAAGAGATGGATGAGTCTAAACCAATGAATAAATTTTTTGCCAAGATACAGATAGGTGAATTGGAGCTTCCTAAGAGCAAGGTGGTTGGCCTGAAAGTACTGTAAGATCCAAACTAAGTTAACTTACTGTGTTGTCTGTGCCAAGTAGAGAACTCAAGAGGACTAATGTTTTAGTCTGTAGCTCCATGTGTGGTCCTGGAAGCCAATATATTTGCTTCTCATGACTGATTTCCTAGCAATTCAATATCAGCCTGTGGTGGTGAAGTCTTAAACGTGGTTTTATATAGTTAGATGTTTTATAAGAAATTATAAGTATAGAGACTGGCCAAGAGTGTTGGGTTAGTTTTCTAGGGCTGCCTCAACAAATGAACACAAACTGGGAGGCTTCAAACAGCAGAAATTTATTTTCTCACATTTCTGGAGGATAGAAGTCTGAAATTAATGTGTTTGTAAGGTTGGTTCCTTCTGGAGGCTCTAAGGGAGAATCTGCTCCATGTGTTTCTCCTAGTTTCTGGGGATTTCCAGCCACTCTTGGCATACTTTGGCTTATAGATGTATCAGTCTAATCTCTGCCTGTATCTTCACATGATATTCTTCCCTGTGTGTCGTTGTGTCTACGTCCAGATTTCTTTCTTCTTATAAGAACACCAGTCTTATTGAATTTAGAATGCACCTTAATACAGTGTGACCTCATTTACCTTGATTACATCTGTAATCTGTAAAGATCCTATTTCCAAATAAAACATTCACGGGTTCTAAATAGACATGATATCTGGAGAAACACTATTCAACCCGGTAGAAGTGTCAGGGGGTTAATTTCACTGCTAAACTAAGCTGTTTCCCTAACTCCCGTGTTTTCGGTGGCCAGGAGTTAGCTGGACACTCCTGGCCTTTTGTCACTGACATTTAACATGTGAGGAGCACCAATTCAACAGGTCCTTCACTTCAGTGATGGCAGTCTAATCAGATAAAGCCAGAGGAAAGCCTGGTACAGAGACTGTGTAGTTTAAAAACTGAACTCTAATCTGCCCTCCTGCAGGCTGTCCCAGACTCCCCTTTGCCTCTGGGCCCTGCTCCTCTGAGATGGCAGAGGGAGGCTCCAGGGGGTCTTCTTTTTGCTTTGATTGAATGCTCGGCATGGGTACTGTAGATTCATTTGTGGATCTGATATAATTTGCTGAATGTGGCACAAAAATCTTTAAAGTTTATTATTCCATCATTATTACTTTCTTTGTTTTCCTGCATTTACAGATATTTTCTTATTTTTTTTCTTCTTTTTATATTTCTTTGGTCATGTTAATGAGACTTTATGCAGCAGGAAGGTAAATTCTTAGGTTTAGTTTGCCATCTTCATAGACATTGAGGACAGTTTCTTGCATCTCTTACAGGGTTTCTAATCTTGTGCCTGCACTTAGCAGGCATTCAATAAGTATTTTTAAATGAATTTGTAATTATAGACATTAAGTATGTATAAATCAGTGAAGGAGAATTTTGGAGGGTGGAAAACCTTTCCTGTATCTCTGAGGTCACATGGCATTCCAAATTGATGAGATTGAGACAGATAGAGAAGAGACTAGAGGGAAGTATATATATCTATCGAACACTACTGTGTGGCAGGAAATATGGAAGGGCTATTTCAAAAGTCTCACAACAGGGGGCCAGCCCCGTGGTGTAGTGGTTAAGTGCACGCACTCCGCTGCTGGCGGCCTGGGTTCAGATCCCGGGCACGCATCGTTGCACTGCTTGTCAGGCCATGCTGTGGCGGCATCCCATATAAAGTGGAGGAAGACAGGCACAGATATTAGCCCAGGGCCAGTCTTCTTCAGCAAAAAAAAAGGAGGACTGGCATGGATGTTAGGTCAGAGCTGATCTTCCTCACACACACACACACACAAAAAAAGTCTCACAACAATTTAGTTCTCACAACAATTCTATGAGACCAGAATTTCTCCCATTTTATAAATAAGGAAGCAGAATAAGTAATTTGTTAAGTAACTTGTTCAAGTGTATATAGGTGCTAAGTGATAAAACCAAGATTCAAACTCAGGTCTTGCTGAACCAAAATCTATCTCCTTCCTATTACACCTTCTTATTATTCCCATGGGATAATGTCAGTTCTCCCGGGATCAAGAAGTTTCACTGTTCCTTACATACTCTTAGGAAACATTGCTCGTCTTATCCCATATGTGGTATTTACAAACTTATCAATTATGTCTGAAGAACCCGCCAATCCTGACTTTATAGCTCAGAAATTCTCTTGACTCAACTATTCCATGAGACCCCCATGGTAAAATCAAGTTAGACTCACTCAGAGGCAGAGGAGACATGACCATGCAACATGGAATGAGAACACTGAGAATGTTCACGCTTATTCTTCCCCCACTAAATCTTACCCATCAGCTTGCCTACAATTCCCGACCAGATTGTCTTCCTTTCTTAAAAAAATACTTGTTGACTGTTTAATACGTTCTAGAAATTGTTTTGTGCAAGCTCTGGGAATTTTAGGAAACCGATGTGTTACATCAGGAACAAGTCCAAGACATTCTGTTCTTTAGGAGAGGTGAGATGGCTTTGTTGATAAGCTCAATGGAATGATTGGTGACCTGGGGTCAATCTACCCACTTCAACAATGCTGAGAAAGAAAAGTGGTGGGAGGGTGAAAATAGGATGGTGAGAAGGGGTTCAAGAGAAGGATAAAAAACGGTCTACCTTGTTAACTTGAGCTCGAAGCTGGTGACTTTCAATCAAGTGAGGAAGTTTGTTGGCTATTTCCATCCAAGGCCTATAATGATCCGGAAGTTCTTTCTGCATTTAAAATAGAAACATCTCAGTACTTTAGAACTCTCTGGGTAGCAGCGTAGGAGAGTAGCTGCTTTCAGATTTCAGTCTTAAAGAAGAATTGAGGTCAATTCAGTTCAACAAACATTGAGAATTCACTATATACTAAGCACTGCAGATACACAGAAGACTAAAATACAGTCCTTTTGCTTAATAAGCATATGGTCTAGTAAGGGAGAAAAAAATATAGTCAGATATATCCCAATGCAGTATAATATGTTCAATTACTGATGAGTGTGTAAGCTTTAAGAACTTGCAAAAGAGGAGCAAGTGGTGAATTCTGTCGTTGTTGTGGGGAATTAATGGGAAATATTTGTAGAAATATAACAGTTGAGTCCAGTTTTAGAGTCTGAAAGTGACTTTTTCTAGATGGAAATTTGAAGAAGGGAAGGCAGCAAAGCAGAAGGACTAGTGGATAAACAGAGGTAAGTGTGCCTCGGGGACTGTAAATGATACAGTGTTACTAGAATATAAAGGTCAAGAGAAAAGGTGATAAAAGATAAGACTAGAAAATCATATCAAATGTGCTTTGTATAGAATATATAGAAGTTTTCTTTTTATGTAAGTTGGTGACATGGTTCAATTTGAATTTTAGGAAGATAATTTTGCTTATATGATTTTAAGGTATAAAGTCAGATTAGGAAGCCTTTGAAATGCTGTTGAAAGACTACACTTAGGCAAAGACAGTGAATTTGGAAGGAAGAAGACATTTATTCAAGAAATATTTGGGAAGTAAAATTGAAATGATGTGATGATTAAATTTGGGGGGGGGGGGGGACAGCTAAAGGCAAGATGATCCCTAGCCCAAAAGCACCATTTATGTGCCCACTCTGGGCCCATGGTTTAGCAAGTAGAGCATAGGCTGGATTTCAGCAACCCTGATTTTATTCCAAGAAATAACAAACTACGTCTATTGTTGTAAATAAACTTTCAGGGGAACACCACCAGTCTCAGTTGTTTGCCTATTGGCTATGGCTACTTTCTCATTACAGCAGCAGAGTAGGGTAGTTGCAACAGAAACTGTTAAGCAAAGCTTAAAGTATTTACTATTTGGCTCTTTACAGAAAAAGTTTGCCAACTCCTGATCTCTCCTTGTGCCTGGACCTCCTTTTTCAGAGTACAGTCTGTGCACTGGATGTTGTGCCCCTGGGTTAAGAAGAAGAGCAGATGAGGATGCTTTCTATGTTTATGAATTGGGTGACTGAATGAATTGGTGGGAACACAAATTGAAACAGAAATGCAGGTGGAAGTCAAAGAGAAGGCATAAAGATAGTGAATTTCTTTTTAGATATACAGCTCAAAATATGTGTGGAATGTCAAAATATGGCTGTATACTGGGCAATTGGATATACAGTTTAAAGTTCAGGGGAGAATTAATTTTATAAATGCAGAATTGGGTGGCATAACTATATAAAAACTCCCCTTTGTGGTTAAAACCACAAGAGTATGTAAGATCATTGGGGAGAAGTTGAAAAGTGAAAGAAGGCTTGTTTCTTTCTTTCGCTGGGGGGATGTTTACAAAGGAGACAGAGGAACTGAATCTAGCTATACAGATCACAGAGACCTTTATAGAGATTCAAAGAGCCAGAGGGGAATCACCCTACAAGACATTAGGGAATTTCAGAAAAGTAGGTATTCATCAGGTCAAATGTATCACTTGGAACTTAAAGTAAGATTGTCCCCTTTGGGGAAAAAACCCAGAAACTGTGAAATCACTAATATATGATTAATCTTTCCATGTATATGGCATAGAAATTTAGATCAGAGTCATGAAAGCAGAGTTCAAATTTTAGCTTGTTGAGGAAGTAAGAAAATAGAATCTGAAAATGTGAATTACTTTTTTAAGTGAGCCATAAGGCATTAGCAAAGAGGAAATTTGTATTTGAGAGCCCTCTCCATTGAGGAATGAGAAACTTGAGTGGTTTAGTCTGCTATTGCAAAAGGGAGAGCTTGAAGATAAAGGAGAAAGGGAAATAGTTAAAGCCTGGATGTCATGGAGGAAGGGAAGGAGGAAAAGCGCCCGAATGGAGCATCTGGCTTTGAAGTGATGGAAGGAGAATGTATGGAGTTTGAGGGAATCCACTTTTCATGAACTCAATTTCTCTGCAAATGAGAGTGAAGATCAGGTTTAGGATCTTCACTGTTGAAGAGAGAGGTGGGTGTAAAATTAATTATAAAGGGAAAAGAAACAGGAAATTAAACATAAAAAATACAAGTATAAACAATAAGATATCTTATGTATAATATAATAATATGGAAGACCCAGGGAAGTTTGAAAACTATGAGTTTGGAGAGAGATCGATCTATAAATTACCCATGAATCACTTGTTGGAGGCCCTCTGTCTCTCAAAATCTGAGAGAAAACTGGTTCAAGCTCTTAAATATACATAACCTGGGTGAATCCAACATTCAATTCACAATCACTGAAAATTATAGACTTTATTTAATCTTCTCCTTTCTATCTTTGACCCAGATTCAATTCAGGACAAACTGGGCACCCTTTACTAGCTTTCACAACAAATCAAAGTTACACCAAAAAAGTTTGTAAGTGTGGAGGTATAATGAGCAATGCTCAGCAGTGGGTACAGAATTGGAGAAATTAAATTGCCCCAGGTTTGGGGATTTACAGAGTGGCGGCAGAGTTGAGAACGCTAGCAAGAATAAAGGCAGAGAGATTTATGGTGAGCTGACTCTGAACTGGCAACTTGTTTTTCGTCTTATGAACGAAAACTGAATGTGGGTACAGAGACAATGGAATATAATCTTCATAAAAGAAAATCAAAGATGCAGAGTCATGGTATTCAAAAGGTCCTTTTAAGGAGGGTTTTAAGAAAAGTTGTAACCAAATCATCACCTCTATTTTTCCTTCTTTGGTGCCTAGATAAGGAATCCTATTCCGAGAATTAAATTAGAGCATTCTATATTTCTGCTTGCTGGCTTGCATGGAAGTCCTTAAATACTATATTTTGTCTCAATCTAGGCTGTACTCTAGTATTTACTTTCTCTTTCTCCTTAGATTTCTAGATTTCTTTCCTTCCTTCTCTTTTTCGTCTTCTCCCCTCTTTAAAAAGTTCTAACGATTGGACTTCTGTATCACCTCACAAATACGAGAAAATCATGATCTTTGAGATCCTCTGGGCTCTCAAAGTGTGGTCCCCAGTCCAGCAGCATCAGCATCACTTGGGAACTTGTTAGAAATGCAGATTCTTGGTTGGCCCTTGAATAAAGCTTGTGCTGTTGACTGCTCAAAGAAAAAAAGAAATGCAAATTCTCAGGACCCACCCCAGACCTACTGAATCAGAAACTCTGGGGTGGGGCCCAGCAGAACCTGTTTTAGCAAATCCTGTAGGTGAAGCCGATGTACCCAAAAGTTTGAAAACCACTAACGTAGGGACCTTGTAGGAAATCAAGAAGGGGAGAAAGGATTTTAAAGATATGTCACAATCCATTAAAAATGTACTCTTCCTTTTGACTTTTCCTCTAGAGACTGAAGAAAGTATTGAATTACGTTAATTATTTTTTGATTGCCAGACTTTTTTTTTTAGGTTACAGTGTGGGAGACAGAATTAGCTGATGAGTTTTTCACTAAATAGAACTCCTTTTGGTGTCAGCTTATACATATCTATCATATCTGTTTTAAAACCTACATGGTATTCCAATATTCTATTAATGAATATTACTAATTGCTCATAATCTTTCACTATTATTAACAAATCTGAAACAGTTATCCTTATACATGTATTTTTAGATTACAGTCATTATTAGGATAAATTTTTAAAAATGGATTTATTTGATTAAAGATTCTGCACATGGAAAGGTTGAAAACTACTTCTTGATTTTCTTACAGAACAATTACATGAATTTATAATCACATTTATAGTGTGTGATATATAATGGGAATGCCTGTTGATCTATGAGTCTAGCAACACTGAACATTACCAAGCATTTTTGTTTTGTTATGTTTTTAAGATAGAACATGTATTATTTGCATTAAAATTTTATAATTATTTTAATATTTAATAATAATTTATTAAAATAACCCTCCAAGAAATATATCTTTCTCAGAAATGATGATTAAAAATAATACAATCAATGTTTAATGGCACCATGCAAAATTTATAAAGTGGAAAGTAAAAACATCTTAATTCTCATCCTCCCATCTAGCAATGACAACCCTTGAAAGTTTCTTGTGTGGTTTTCCAGAAATTTTATACGCCATCATTCTATTGTTTAAATTTACATGTCTCTGGTTATTAATGAGTTTGAATATCTTTTCATATGCTTTGATCATTTGCATTTTGTGTGCGTGTGTGAAATAGCCGTTCATAACAGGCTAGTCAAATGAACCAATATTATCGTTTATGCCATTGGGTTTTAAATCATGCTTAAAAAAGTTCTTCCCATCCCAACATCATTTCTTTTAGAGTATTTCTAGTTTAATTGTTGATGCTTGCATCTTTAATCCAGCTACATTTCTGTTGTACATGTTATGAGTTAGGACATATTATCTCAATATTTCCGTTTTGAAATGGATGATTTTCCCAAGGTTACACATCTGGTCAGGTCAAACCTCTTCTGACTCAAACTTCAGTGTACTTTCCAATACCTCTCCAGAGTAAACAGATGGAGAATGGTGGGGATTGGGGGAGGGGGAATGGAGGGTTTGTGCAACGGGATAGGAAATTGAAACTTTCCATGTTTTCCTTCCCCTCATTCCAATAATCGGAAGACCCAGAAGTGGGATGGACAGAAATAATAAAATATTTGGCTTTCCTTTCTTTATAAAAACCAATTTTCTATTTTATGTTATTCTTTCTCTTGACTTTTACATCTGTCAAAGTATAATTTTCAAAAAGTCAAAAAAATGACTTAGGCAAATATGGAATTTATGTCCAAAATATATTTAGTTCATTAATGAGGAAATCAGCAGGATGGTAAAGTTGGTTGAAAAGCACTTGATAAACTGA